GTTTCTTATTCTATAGCGAAATAAAGGTAAACGTTAATGAAACGTTAAATCTTTGAAAAATATGCAGTCTCGTTAATTGAGGACACCCCCCCCCCCCCAAAAAAATAAAAATGTAAAAAATCATAAAAACTGTTATAGTTAAAGAAAATGTTCAGGTTTGATTTTTAAAATCTGCTTGTAAACCATCATGTGTTATCACAAATGCCTTTTTGGTCCCTCTCCTTTCTCTAATTTACTCTTTTTCAGATATTAATTCTTTTCTAATTGCTAATCATAAACAATAATTAATATTAACCAAAAAGTCATTTCAGTCATTAAATACATTTATGATGAACCATTATGATTATTTATGATGCTTATTATGATCCTTGTAATAAACAGTACAAAGAGTTTATTAAAATGATTATTTTAAATCTTGAAGTGTCCTTCATCTTGGGACGGAACAGCAGACAGATAAAAGGCAGTCGGATTAAAGATGGTTTAGAGAAGAAGTTAAACAGCTGTGATGGTTAATCTGTGGGACAAAGTACAGCTCAACCCAGCTCGACCTAGCTGGGGAAGTGTGACCTTTGGGTCACAAAATGAGGCATTCATTCGCTACACTTTTTTAAAAGGTCTTCGTTCCTTTTTAGCTTTTCTTCCAGGCAGTTATAATTTATCACCTTCCTGTTGTTTAGTTGCTCCTCGTTTGCATTTCTCTCCCCTCTGAAGGTTGTTTTATGCTTGACGCGTCTGCGAGGTCCGCACGGCTCATCGCGGCAAAATTGCGTCATTTTAACAACCACGCCCCTCCACCGCGCCTCCGCACGGCCTAAACTTTCCGCACCGCGCTCCTAGGAAATTTTCTAACCATGCGGACGGTCGGACGTGGGAAAACATGGCGGACTGGCAAGAAGTAGTATGGCAGAGGTTTGTAAATACAGACATTTGTATGATTCAGCTCTCAGAGATCACCGTGATCAACATGTTGTTAATAATTCTTGGAGAGAAATAGCTCGCACTGTCGGAAAAGACGAGGACGCTGTTAAAAATGCTGGAATGCCATGTTGTAAACAGTAATTTCTACTTCTACTATGGTGTAGTGTTGGATGCATGCTGTAGAGCTCCATGCTGCCCCCTACAGTTTCGGAGAATATTGGCTCACCGCAGAGACAAGCCGCATGAACCATAAACGCTGCGAGTTGTGAAGCGCGTTCCATCCGCGAGCCGCATCGCCAAGCGGAAAGAAAACGCGTCAAGCATAAACCAAGCTTTATAAAGCTGAAGTCACTCTGACTCCGGACACTATAGCGTGATCATCAGTAGCTTTATTAGTTTTGATTTGTCTGAATAAATTCATTACTTTTCAGGCGCTTTTATTTTGAAGGAACATCCAGACAACAGAGGTAAAACGTACAGATTTAATCCTCTTGTCTTTTATTTCACCAGTTTCTTATTTTATAGTGAAATAAAAAATGTAAATCTTTGAAAAATATCCAATCTCGTTAATTGAGACCCCCCCCCCCCCAAAAGAAACAAATAAAAAAGAAAAAAAAATCATAAAAACTGTGTTTTATTTAAAGAAAACGTTCAGGTTTGATTTTTAAAGTCTGCTTGTAAACCATCATGTGTTATCATAAATGTCTTTTTGGTCCCTCTCTTCTTTCTCTAATTTACTCTTTTTCAGACATTAACTCTTTTCTAATTGCTTTTTTAAAAGGTCTTTGTTCCTTTTTGGCTTTTCTTCCAGGCAGGTATAATTTATCACCTTCCTGTCGTTTTGTTGCTCCTCATTTGCATTTCTCTCGCCTCTGACATCCACCTTCACCACGTCACCCTCCTCTTCCTCTCCCTGGCTTCTCACCTCTTCAGGATTTGTCGTCTCTGACTTTAGAGAAGTGAATCATCTGTTTACTCATTTATAAAAAGAGGGATGAGCTTCACTAAAACCTGAAAGAGTCTCAAGCTGAACCAAGAAAGGACAGAGAAGAGCTGAGAGGTCCAGCAGCACGTGCACAGAGCTGTGCAAAAGTTTTAAACCGCCTCATCTCTTGCTTCCCTTCTAGACTCTCGCGGGAAGTTTGAAACAGATTTTGATTATGTTTCTGCTATTTTAAGGCTTTGCACTGCAGTTTTGGTCGTGCCATGACAATCTTGTGCAATTTGTGCTTAATAAATAAATAATCTGGACAAGTTGAGGTCAAAAACACCATTTATGTGTCTGGGAGTCTCTGCTGCCTCTAGAAACACTCCAAACGTGAATATAACCTCCGTCCATTTTCTGTCAGTGTTTGGTTTTAGGAGTTATGTTCGTAAAACAAGTGGTTTCAAAAAGTCCCCGTTTGTGACATCACAAATAGGGAATGTTGAATCGAATCACCTCTCAACTGGAGGAGAACCGCTGCTGGAGGAGCAGCAGTTCTCCAAGCCCCTCTCTGATATGGGAGCTTTTCAGCTTATAGCAGCCTGAGTGGGGATGGGTGGGCGTGGCCAGCTTGAGCTTGTTTTCTTAAAGTGACAG